CTATGCTAAGAATTATACTGATAACCACTCACTTCCTTTCCCTGGCATTCTATATTTATTTGATGGAGACTCAGGATTGCTAAAGGCCTAGATACCACCAAATACCTCAAATCCTGCCTGGTCTTGGAAACTAAGCAGGATCAACTCTGGTTAGTACTTGAATGGGAGGATGCCAAGGAATTCCAAAGCTGTATTTCAGAGGAAGGAAATGGCAAACCACCCCTGAGTTTTTCTTGCCTAAGAAATTCATGAGGTCACCAAAAGTCAACAAGTGACTTGAAAGCTCAAACACAGACACACATATACACATAATAGCATTGACCTTACCACAGCTGGCTCATCAGGCTACAGTTCACAGAACTCTTTGGAGGAAGTTATAACCATGAAACATGAGTGAAAGTAATATATCAGATCATTGTAGATATGTGCTTTGAAAAACAATGAGTCAACAGCTTTGACGCACTCCTTGGGTGGTCTTAACCTCTTGCAGGGAAGCACTGGCATTATTCAGTACTTTCCTAATTAGGGCAGTATTGAAGTAGAGGTGAAGAATCTGTGGTCCTTCAAAGTTTTGAGACTTCTAACCCCTGGAAGCATCAATCTGTTTGGAAAATAGTAAGGAAACATTTTGTAGCCCCAAACTCCTGGAAGTACTGAGCAGATCTTCGGCACCCTAATTCAGAGGAATGGCTTGACTGTATTGCACGGGTCTAGACTTGGCAAGGGAACCAGTCTGTGGGCCCCTACATATTCTCCCAAAATGCTGATCTTCCTGGAAACAACAGCATACCCATCTCATTCCCCCACCCCCCACCCCGATATCTGGCATAAAATTACGGTTGCCTTCAACTGAAGGGTGGGAATCAGGGATCCTGGTTCATGCAGGATTAAAAACAAAACAGAAGATAAGCTTTTGTAACTAGAAGGAGTGCTTTTTTCATTTCTACATTCACATTACAAAGCAATGAAGGAAAAGAAGAAAACTAAAACTTTATTAATCTAGTGTGTGAAAATGAATCAAATGGCAGAAAAACATGACAGAATGACTCCAGAAAAAATTATTGTTGCCAAGTATTTTGATGGCTGTACCTCTAACTAGGAGGTAAAAAGCACAGACGTAACAAGTTGGCTTTGCACTTGTGTTTCTTAAGCACTATCTTCAGATCCCAAGTGACAAAACACTTCTGAATTTGTGGTAGTGGGTCGACTTCCAAAAGCACATCGTATGGAGGTATGCTGTTCCTAGGAGGGAAGTCAAATGTTACATTGGATATGTCCTGTGGGCATACTTAAGGTAACTCTTTGGATCCCAGTTACTTTAATGAAACTAAACTCTGGAGGTCCAATAGGTGGAATATTGGTAATGGACAATATGTGTTTATTTGCAACCCTAGATAATGTGTTAGTGCTATCAAGGCTTGGCAAAAGCTATCCAAATAGTCATAATGCTGGGATCGACTGTGTTCCCCATAACTGTGGATTTTTCAGCAGGTCTGGTACTAAAGTTTCTATCCTCTCTTAGTATTAAAATAATTTCAGACCTTGCCCCTAGTACTGATGGTTGTATGATAGCAGAAGAGAGCCTGAAGGAACTGCTTGCTGGAAGGAAAAAAACTGAATAGGTTGGGTGTTACTATCCTGCAACAGCTTTTGCTATATTATTCTGCTAGAGCTTACTACAAAACAGAACTTGGATTCTCATAGTCTTATGGATATCTTGCATACAACTTGTGCATTTCTGGAATCATTTTCTGCAAAGACATTTAGGCTGCAAGCTGATGTAAGCAAATCTAAAATTGAGTCCCATTAAGTACAATGAGCAGGATTCAGCAAGTATGGAGGAGGTATGGAAGTGGAATTTCTAGAAAAAGGAGGAAGGATCATAAGCACCATTGCCATATCCTTTCATATCTTTCCATATACCCACCCACCCCCCAACCCAATCTTGCTGCATGGGTGGTTTCCAAATGCCACATAAGAAGCTCTTTTGGGCATTTGTGCTGCAGAAGGCGTGGAGCAGGGAAAAAGTTCAATTGCAGTGGCAACTGATGCTGTATGGTCATTGATTTAGAACCATTGGGCTTTCTTTTGAGCAGATATGCAATGTTAGTTTACAGCTTCAAAGCTGTAAATATTAATCAAGAAGGGTTATCCTTACTCTTCCAGGACTAAATGTGTTTGTGTGTAGTAAAACAAAGCAAGGTATCTGACAGAAATACATTGTGTGCAGGCACACACAACCTGTGACACATATCATATAGTGAAGCTTCAGATTCTGAGGAACTCCTAAAAGCTCTCATTATCCTTTATTATTGGCCATGCTGGCTAAGACTCATAGGAATTGCAACCTAACAAAACTTGTCATGCCACAGGCTTCAGAGCCATAACAATGCTTACATTCGTAACCCTACCTGACATATAAATGCACACTGAAGAGCACCCCACACTCTCACTCATATAAACAGAGGGCAAATGGGTTCCTGCAAGAAGTTATCTTTCCTGCTTCCAGGGCACTTTCAGGATTCCTCATCACAAAGACAAGAGTCACCATGCATGGGTGGCTTTCACGTGTTCTTCATGAGGAAACCAGGTGTCATCCAATTCCAGGGCAATTTCAGGAGCTCATTTGAAACACGCACCCTTACAGAGCAGATAAAATAGTTGCCATGAACATAGCACCTGAGGACATTCTCACATGAGAGCCCTAGGTCATTCTCATCATTCTCTGCTGCGTGAACACAACTACTAAAGGCAATTGATTTTATTATTTTGTATAAACATTTATTTTTTTATCCCTCTTGAAGAATTCCTGCCTTCACCAGTATTCTTGTTTCTCAAATGTATCAGTCCAGCATAATATACATACACTTTTCCAATCATATTTGTGTGGCTTCTCTATTTTATGAGAAATAAAAGAAGCTGATGGCCATAAGTATTAAAAACTTATGGCAGTTACTCTTAAGGAACACATTTACAGTTAGGTTCTTGTAGGTTTTTTCGGGCTACAGGGCCATATTCTAGAGGCATTTCTCCTGACGTTTCGCCTGCATCTATGGCAAGCATCCTCAGAGGTAGTGAGGTCTGTTGGAAATAGGAAAAAGGGTTTATATATCTGTGGAATGACTGGGGTGGGGCAAAGAGCTCTCTGCTGAAGCTAGGTGTGAATGTTTCAGCTGACCACCTTCATTAGCATTTGAAGGCTTGGCTGAGCCTGGGAAAATGTTCTGTTGAGAGGTGTTAAGATGTGCCTGGTTGTTTCCTCTCTGCTGTTTTGCTGTAGTAATTTTAGAGTTTTTTTTAATACTGGTAGCCAGATTTTGTTCATTTTCATGGTCTCCTCCTTTCTGTTGAAATTGTCCACATGCTTGTGGATTTGTACATTTACAGTTCTTTTTCTTTCTCCATCTCTTTCACCCTCCACTTCCCTTTCTCTCTCTCTTAGCCAATTGCACTTAAAGGGTAGTTTCTAGAATTCTGGTCATATGCCAGCATGACTTAAAATGCTAAAATTTGCTATATTGCAGAATATTTGTTTGGATTTGTTAATAATGTTACTTTTATGAAGAATTAACATAATGGCGTGATGAAGATATCCATGTCTGAACAGTAATAGGTTGATGAACTGGGATGATATTGATCATCCTGCAATTATTCCACTGTGGACGTTTCCAAGCTCTGCTTTAACTATCCACCACAGAGCACACAAAAATGCATTTGAATCCCCAAGAATTTGCAAAGTTAGAACATGTGGAAATAGAATCCCTTTCTTTCCCACATCATTTGCTGGCCAATTGGCCATCAGGCTTTTATATCAGTGACTGAGACTTCAGCCACTGTCTCCAACTGTAATCTGGCACTGTTGCAGCATATTACTAGAAATAAGCTGAGTATCAAGCATTCTCCCCTTGGAAAATGCTTAGTGCCTGATAACATGTTGCTGTTTTCTAAGTTCAACAGTGCATCTGACCTACTCTACATTAGTGAGGAGACCTGGGAAGCTAGATTGCTCTACTGGCATTTACCGCTGCAGGGAGGTGGGGAGGCCCGTCTCGGTTGGAAATTCATCTGGTTTTTGTTTTTCCAACTCAGAACACACTTTGTGGAACAAGCAAATGCCAACAGCTCCTCAGACATCTGCATCTCAGAGCCAGCCAGCCAGCCAGCCAGCCTTTGTAGTGTGTCTGGCAGTTCTGGGAGAATCGGAATATTACCTGACTCTCTGAAGAGCAGGATGGGAGAAAATGCAGCAGCATTTCTTTGTCAGTATGGGGAGCCTGGCTCTGAGGAATGGGAAGAGAGGACAGACCTATTTTTTTAAAACAAAAAACAAAAAACAGGAGTGCAAATGGCCTTAGGTTTCCTAATCGGTTCTCACTAAATGCATTCACTCGTTTTCTTTCTTTGCAATCTGGCACATCAATGCTCAAGGATGCTGAGATAAAGCCTATGGAGAAAAGGATGCTGAGATAGAGCCCATGTAGTGTGCAACTTCAAGGAAAAGGACAGCTGTCTCACAATTTTGTTGAGAAATAAACTATTAATAACACCTGGATGCTAGCTATAGTTTAATTTCTTCCCTTTCCAGCTACTGTACAGCCCAGCAACTCTCATAAATTCTGAAAGAGAGCAATTGGAAGTAAGGCACTCCTTTAATAAAATGCATCGACAGACAGAACCCCAGTATCAGCATTACTCAGTGTGGAGTGGCTTCCCCAACATTTTCCTTTTTCCTTCACACCCCAATCTCAGGACAAGAATCAGTTGGAATATCCAAAAAATTATACTGCAGTTAGAACTAAAGTGAGTTTCTGTGCAGTATTCCTATTAATACAAAATAACCAAGACTATGGGAGGCACAATAGCCACAGAGCATGTGCCAACATTAATTTCTCGGGATGTCCAGCATTTCAGAAACAATGTAAAGAAAGCTTAACTGTAGAGTATATTTCCACATAAATGCAGAAAAACACTCTCATGCACAGGAATAGTTAGACACATACCTCTTCTTCACAGGAGCCAGCAGTCTTTGCCCACACCTGTCCTATGCCAGGCCTGTGGAGTGCAGGACAAAGGCGGGCATCTTCTCATCTCTTCCACATATTGAGGACCACTGGAGCAGCTGTGTTGCCACTCCTTTTTTAAGCTGCTGACACAAGTGGTCCTGAGTTGAAAACTCTTTTCTCAGTGCTCAGAATCTGAGAAACCTTTTACTTTTACCTTATATGAGCTGAAAGATGATGCTGGATGTCTGACGATACATCTGTCAGTGGTCCTGGGAAAGGCCATTGGCTGAGGTCTGGTCACGTGGACCTGCTGCCTTGACCTGCGACAGTTCAAGCGAATGTTGGTTTTACCCCCTAAGGAAGGCGTGCTTGACAATTTTCATATTTCTTCTAAATTTGGAGATTTCAGACAATGCTCAGCATGCCAGAGGCCCATGTGGAAGTCATTAAGGCAGAGGGGGAGAGCAAGGGAGAAGGAGGGAGGGAAAAAAGTTGGGGGGAGAAGGAGGGGGCCAGGGAAAGCTTTGGGGGTGGGGCAAGGGAGAGAGGCCCGTGGCTGTTGCCAGCTCCATGCCTGGGAACATAAATGAACTCAAGGAAAGTTGTTTGTAATAATTTACTTCCTCTCCAGTCCTCCTGCCCCATTTGGGAAAGCAGAGAAGCTCTGAGAACCACATGGTTGGAAGGAATAAATCGTACTGTCAGTGACAAATGCCGACTGCCTTCTGCCTCTTCCATCAGGACAAACATGGGGTTGTGGAGGGAGAGAATTGTTAAAAGGATAGGCAAGATCAGCCAAGGAGTATATTAATCATACCACACCTTGAATTGCTCTTACCTACACACAGCTTTCCTGATGGTCCTTCTCCATACACCAGTAATTGCATTTTGTGCTGGTGGTGATGCCACTAGGATCCATGAAACTAGAACTTACAGGATAGAATATAGTTTGGAGCTGATTGTATCTTGAGCAGCGTTGAAAATGCAGGAGGTGGGGGTGAGGCGGAGAAACGGCCTAGAGATGTTCCTGGCTTGACTTGGTCTGCCTTGTGATTTTCATCACTTTGGAAAGCTTAATCTGACCAGGCTGAAAAGGGCATTTAAGCATATGAAAAGCAGCATATGATATTCACAAAGACTCTCTCTTTCCACCATCCCCTGCCTCTCTCTTCAAATCTTTTCTCTCAGGCTTTCTCTGTGAAACAGTACAGCAGTATTGTGAATATGCCGTATTTCCTATGCTTGCTATGCTCTGTCAAGATGCCTTTGACTGATGGTAACCCTATGAGTAAGAGACCCTGTTGTTAACAGTCCTTATTAAGATTGTACAGACACAAGGCTGTGGCTTCCTTGAGTGAATCAGTCCACTATAAGCTGCTTTTACTAGTTGTTTCTACTTTCCCCAGCATTATTGTGTTTCTACTGATTCATGTCTTCTCGTGACATGGCCAAAGTATGATAGTCTCAGTTTCATCACTTTGCTTTCTAGGAAGAGCTCAGTCTTAAATAGTTGTAGGATGCATTCATTGGCATTTTTAGTAGTCCATGGTATCTGTAGTACTCTTTTCCAGCACTATATTTCAAACAAACTTATTTTCTTCCTGTCAACTTTCTTCACTGTCTAGCTTTCATATCCACACATATAGATTAAAAATGCTGTAACGTGGATGATTGTCACTTTGATGTTCAATTATATATATTTATGTATATAATTCTTATCTAGTTCCTTCATAACTGGCCCTCCAAGTCTTAAGCCACATCTATACAGTCAAAATGAAGTGGACTCACTGCTCCACTATTGCAGGGTCCAGATGATGCATGGCTGAATTTGCAGCAGAAGCACTACATTCAGTGGAAAGGAAAAGAGATTAACACCGGAGTGTCTAGGAAGCTCTGTAGTAATCCCAGAGTTTTGGATGTGTGGGCAGCTCGATCAGGATCCAACCCTATCCACCATTCACATGCCCAATGGATCCACTGCTGTATCATTGGCAGGAAGTAGCCCCCTGCCAGAGGCTTGTTGGCAGCATCACTTCTGGGGAAGCCACACCAGGGCACTCAGCCATATGACCAGAAATGTGACTTCACCAGCAAGCCTTTGACAAGAAGCTGCTTTTTGCTGGTGGTGCAGCAATAGCGGGCCAATATACTTTCAGGCCAGTAAGTCATGTGGATAGCCAAAGGGTTCTGGAGGCATTCCTGGGCTATGTAATCAGGACAATTCTGAAGTGCTTTAATCTAACTGACTAAGGTAACTGTAAACATAGTTGAAGTCTTCTGCTTTCTTGACTACAATATAATATCTTAGGATAGGTATACTTTGCATATATAGATAGATAGAGAGAGAGAGAGAGAGAGAGAGACCATTCCCAAGAATACAGTTTGTTCTTGTTAATATGTTTATAATAAGTGTTTTGAGAACATTTTCCACTGTATAAAATTGTAGTTTCTTTATCAAAATGGAAAATTTGAAGGGCTCTTTCTCCATAAGTACCATTCTTGTTCAAACCATCAGTGTTTATTTCTTCTGAAGGCTAGGGATCATTAGTATAACACAGTACAATGAAGGATAACCTTTTGCCCAGTACATGTTTTAGATTTTAGTCAGAATTACTCTTGCCAATTAAGGATTGTACAATGTATAGTCCAAAATATCTACAAGTTCAAAAGGTCATTCTCCCCTGAGTAATAAATGGAAGCTATCTTTATGATTATCTTTGGAAGAAAACACACAGAAATTAGTTTGCCGTCCCCTATAATCATGTTACATCTGCTTCTGTGATCTGACACTTAAGTAACTCCTTCATGGGAAATGTCAAGCACATCATCTATATAAGGGATCCTCCTTTGATCAGAGGCTAATATGGGAGCTTTGGCTATTAGGTTGAGAATGTTTGGGACTCAAAGGTCCAGAAGTCAAAGATGACTAATGAGAAACTAAACTAAGATGTGGAAGGAAGGAGGCATTCAGCAAATGCCTAAAATATTCAATTTCCTAACAACTAGGAGAGGCTATTTCATATTTTAGGTGTAGTATAATTTCACATGCAAGAACAGAGTCCCATTTTGTTAGGATTAGAATTCAAGGGAAACACAATATTTCACGTCCATTTGAGCTGTGGAAGCTATAGGAAGGCTTTAGATAGAGTCAAGACATATCTAAAAGCCGAACCCTTTGATCAATAGTGATCCACCCTCCCTGCCCTAAAGCAGAGAAGCAGCGCATACCGTTTTTGTCCACACCTCATATAGCCTGATGTTGCAGGACATTAATACAAAGCCCTGTTTTTACATTGCATGCTTATTCCTTCCAGAAAGTTCACTCCTTTATCTCCCCACACAAAGAAAGATATATGCTGACACTATGCATTGTTTTTTTTTCACCACATTTATTCTATTTTCACATTTCACATATTCTATTTTCACATTTTCCCCCTCAATGAATTTCTCAATATAGGCAATTGTGTTTGCCCTGCCTCCTTTATCATTATTGATTTCTCTTTATTTTTTTAAAAAGCTACCAAGCTATTATTACACAGTTAAGTGTGATGTCACAGTACTATTGCATTACTGCCCAAGCATCAGAAAAGTTTGAGCCATCTCTGTTGGAAATATCCTTAGGAATCCCCAAGGAAGGGACAACAAAACCATACTTACTTCATGCCCATAATTCAACCATGCTTGCAATAAAGAGTGAATAGAGAGAGAGGGGGGGATATGAAATTATATTAGGGCTGTCTCTTTATACCAGTTGCCCACCTCCAATCCGGATATCTCCTCCCTCCACACAGGTCAGCTCACTTGCTCAGAGAAGAGTGCCCTTGGTAGAAAAAAGATGCTTACATGTGCTCTAGCACAAAGCATCTTAAACTGTGGATCCTGGTCCTATTTGCGTCCCCCTAGCTAAATTTGGGGGTTACATGAAATTTGTGTAGCTTGCCACCTAATAATTATTTTAGGCATTTACTTGAATCCAGAAGAATAAAAAGAGAGGCAACAGAATGTTTTCTGCCAATTGAGGCTGCAAACCAAACATACCATCAGGCATGAAAAATGTTGAAAATGCTCTATGTCCTGCAGTATGAAATAGTCCACAATGATTGAATTATTTATATAAAAATAAACAAACACATCCATCTCCTTAGTATTCAAATTGGCTTCCATCTTTAATAAATAGTCAAATTACTGTATCTCTCACTGCATAATAGTTACACCTTTTCCCCCTTAAAAGGGGGGGGGGGTACAACTTTAAGCAGTGGAAATTTTGAGGCTTACAGGGCCTTCCTCATCCACATATGGAGGTCCACACATTACCCATTCCAGTTCTAGAGTGATCCCTCTAAATAAAAGGTAAAACGCAAAGTACAAACAGAAAACACAAACTCAGAGACATTTTCTAGATCAGTGTTTCTCAAACCAAGATGTTTTGAACGTCAGCTCTCACAATTCCTAACAGCTAGCAAGCTGAATGGGATTTCTGGGAGCTGAAGTCCAAAACACCTGGAGAAGCAGAGCTTGAGAACACTGTTCTAGATCAACGGTTCCCAAACTTTGATCCTCTAGGTGTTTTCGACTTCTGCTCCCTGAATTTTCAACCATTGGCCAAGCTGACTGGGGTTTCTGGGAGTTGAAGGCCAAAACATCTGAAGAACCAAAGTTGGGAATCACTGTTCTAGACTTAAGTGCCAAAAGTCAAACCGGTCCTCTCCTATAGGTGATCCCTCATGGCAGAAGGGATTGTCTTCCAAAGGTAGAGTCATGACAATGTGTAAGTGACTGTGGAGACCTATTCTGGATCCACATCATCTTTCACAATGAGGGCATAGATTTCCACTTGGAAGATGATCCCAACAAGGGTTTGCTTGATGCACCTTCCGCAGCATGCTTCCCCTTTTACTCTCTATTTCTGCCTCTTCAAAACCGTCAGTAACATCTGATCTCAAGTCAGAACACTCGAGTACCTTGGCTTCCCAGTTCTCTATGTTTATTCCACTTTTTAAGATTTGCTTTATGTCTATCTTTAAAACTCTTTTGCTGTCCAACAACATTCCATTTTCCATTATTGAGCTGATAATATAGTAACTGCTATGGGAGATGTTAATCAAGCATTTAGACGATGTGGCCACTCCACCAAAATTGATGATGGAGAATTTGTCCACCTGTCTTCCCAAAAGATTTGCAAGACTTTTCAGACTTCAGCAGCAAGCC